CGCGGAGGAGTGGACCGAGGTCGACCCGACGATGAGTATATACTCCGACATCGTTTATCACAAGGGGAATGTCTACGCAACAAATTGGATCGGGAAAATTTACCACATCGAGAATTACGAAGCGAGAGATGGTGCGTTGAGCCAGGAAGGCAAGGTAGTGTATGAGTATGAGGTGGTCAACAACCCGTTTGCTAGAAGTTATCTGGTGAGCTCCATATCAGGAGACATTCTGATCGTTGAGCGTATTTACGGAGGCAAATACTATTGTTCAGGACTTGACGACGACGACGAAGACCACTACGTGACTGTAGGATTTGTGGTGAGAAAATTGGTGGTGGAGGAAGAGGAGGAGGAAGAAGGACGTGTAAGAAATCGTTACGTGTGTGAGAGGGTGCACAACCTGAGGGAAGATGAGGCCTTGTTTGTAGGTCAATGTTCGAGCTCGTCTGTGTCGCTGGTCGCTGGAAGAGGAATGTTGAGACCCAACTGCATTTATTTTACAGACGACAATTCGGAGTTCTTTCCACAGGCTGGAGGAGGTCACGATGTGGGTGTTTTCGATTTGACGGATGCGACGGTTACGTCTTACTACACTTACACCGGGGAAAAGTCTATTTCCAAGTCTTGTCCTCCACTATGGTATATATAATGAGATGTGCCCTCTACTCTTATATATACTAGTTTGGGTAAAACTAGCGAGTGATATGCCGAGATGAAGCAGTGCAAGAAAGCAAGTCGTGGAGAGAGAGATGTGGAAAGCATGTCTAGATAATAATGTTGTAGCAAGTTTAATAGTTATAGATAGATTGGATTCTCGTCGGTTATTTTATTGTAACGAATTGAGACGTTAAGCTAGTTTAGGAACATGAATTAAGTAGATCGTCCTGCTGTTAGGGTCTATTGGGGTTTATATTTATATGTACTCTCTAAGGTCCTGGCTTTTTCCCGATAATAATTATGGCGATGTTTTATGTTAATGAACGATCAGAAGGATTTGTAACTATTAGGAGTCGTTTGAAAGTTGAAATTCTATATATTGTATTTACCTAATGCGTGTGTGTTTTACTTTTAGTTTAAGCTACAATATATATTGACAATTAATGCATTTAAAAAATAATATACATTGGTTTAAATGCAACTTTAAAATACGAACCTACTAACTGTTAAAGCAATGGATGAGTAAGTAGTAAATGCTAGACTTTAGAGTGACGAGTACTACTAGTACTGTCTTCTGCTTCCACTCCAGCCCTCTACTCATCATGAGATTTGGGCGGATCTCAGATAGAGGGACGCTCTGGCAGGAGAAATCAGTACTCTGCATCTACTCTGCCAAAACAAGGGGAAAACAGAGAGCATAACATAATGTCTCCTGGAGCGGAAAAAGAAAACAGAGCATAATTATTTCGAGCTTCTGTGTCCTCTTAGGCTCTTACTCAGTCAGTCCTTACAATGGGTCAGAGGACTCCTTTATAACCTACAGAGAAGAAAGCTAGAAGCGTTCCTCTATTACTTCAGCTTCCTTTCTTATTCTTTCACCCTGCCTTTTTTCTCCACCCTGAATCTCATCCATCCTTTGTTTTTCAATCTTTTTCAAGACTTTGTTCCTCTCTGTTTCCCTCTTCCTTTTTCGCTATATATGGAGGGAATCGTCATTTGCTTACTTTGCCGCAGACGGTTTGCCGATGTACTTTCCTTACAAAGCCACAACCAAAGTGCCCATCGCGGATACCACCATAGGAAGAAGAGGAAGAAGAAAACAAGGACGAGGAGGAAGAAGAAGAAAACAAGGAATGCGATGGTCGGGTATGAGCAGATACATCATACATGCATTCTCTACTTAGTTTGGGATGTTGCGGTTGTCATTTGAATCTGGTAATTGGATATTTGGTTGCTTGTTAGTTCAATGGATTTGTGTTTCTATGTGTTGTGTGTCTCTGTTTTGTCCCGAGTTGGTACAAGGATTGTAAATAAGTCGAGTCAAGTCGAGTTTTATTCAAATTCGGGCTCGACTCGTTAATAAACGAGTCAATCTCGGCCTCAGTTCATTTAGTAACGAGTTGAGTCGAGCTCGAGTTAGCTCGCTTAATAAAACCTTAACTCTTGTATGGTACATGTGACTGATTTATCATGAAACATAATAATAATAATAATAATAGTCAAATTTTCATCATTAACTAATCTCGTATTATACTCTATTAGTATCACATTATTTAGTTCATAATTCTTTTTTTTTTTTTTTACAAAATAATCTGTAAACTTTATTTAACCTGATAAAGTGTCATTACAGTCCTACATTAAAGCATGAAGGATAAAAATTGGGGGTCTCTCCATCCGCATCTCAAATTCCTCCCACTTACATCTTATCCTTGCCATTTCATGGGCTACGGAATTACCACTTCTCTCCAGAAACTTCCACTTGACCTCACCCATCTCCCTCTTTAGCTCCTTGATCTCGATCAACACCAACCCCATTTCTGTTTCCACCTCCTCTTCCTTCTCGAGTTTCTAGATCAAGGACAAGCAATAAGATTCCATCAATATTGGCTTCACCAAATGCACTCGACCCTCGTCCTCCTCACCGCCGACAAAATGAAACGTCCGTCTCCATCCCTGATCACCATCTCAAATCCAGTTCTCCCCTCTTTGATTTTCGCGGCATCAACATTCAATTTTAGTAATCCCCTTTACGGTTTCTCCCAGGGCCGGTCCATCATATTTGAAGGCCCTGTTCAAAAATTTAAAATATGGCGCTAACTTTTTTCCGTAAGTTTATTAAAATTAAAATTAGTAAATAATACTAAAAAAGGCATAAGTTTATAAAATGATTACAAAAGTAATGATTTCATCTATAATTGTTTAAAAATAACAAGCGTCTCATATTATTTGAAATAAAAAATAGTAAATACTAAATATCATGATTGCTCCATTTTTTCGCTTGGAACAACATAACTCAAATTTTATAGTTGACATAACTAAAAATTATAACAAAAAATCAATGATTTCAAATTTCCAATCACAATTAAGTTCCCTGCAAATAAAAAAATTGAATAAAAGAGGTTAGAAGATAAAGAAACAAACATAAAGAAAAGAACCAGCAGGTATATTGTACTCTTTGCATTTGTAAAAGTATGGTTGGTAAGATAAATCCCGACAGTGTTTAAAGTTTACACTTCACATCAGCGGGTTAAATGCATCGGGTGTCACTTAACTAGCGCATTTATTGCACATTAACCACTTAATCGGATTTGTTTTCAACTAAACCTTTTAAGCCAAATTTTGATAGCAACATCAGCATTTCCGTCACGAGACGTAACGATAAGTACTAAATTTTCCATGACGTGCTGGCAATCCATGTCAGCAAAGCTACCGAGTCATCGCCACATCAAACCATAATTAAACAGCCATGTCCGTCCTAACGGGATCGATCGAAACAAAGCTCTCGTAGCTCTTTAGTTTAGGGATCCACCTCCACGTCACCTCACTCATCTCCTTCGCTTCCCTCCTCACCTTCTCCCCGGTCCCCTCCATCACCACTTCTCTAATCACATTTGCGATTTCCCATCTCTGAAGCTCCCCATTCCCGTCTCTCTTTACCTCCACCGCAAACTCCAACTTCTTCCACCACTCTCGCATTCACGAATTGTTCCACATGCATCGGCACCACGACAATCGATACTCCATGCCACATGTGGTGGCAACAAAACTGCAAGTGCACAGTGTTGTACAAGTAATAAAGTGTAAGTAAAATTATCGATCTTTAGGGGATTGGTGAAACTCAATAATTAACAAATTTAGTTGAAGAAGCTATATGTTTGTGCCTGGGAAGTACCAGGCGGTTATGTGAGACTCTACGACCTCTGGCGGCTTGACAGGTGGGAGGCGGTCTTCAAAGACCTGCACGAAAGGTCCTCAGGGGTTGCCTGGGACCTCCTCCGAAGCTTAAGTTAGAGAGAGAAGGGAATGGGTAAATGTATGTAGAGAGAGAATTCGGTTGGTCGAAGTTACCATAAATGCTGCCCCTTTGGGGCTATTTATACTAGCCTGGACTTAGAATCAAGACATTTAATGCTGTGTCAGGCGGTCTAGGACGCCTTTGACTTTATTGTCTGCTTTGTCAGTACGAATGTCAGGCCTCTTCTGACAGCAGGATTTTAGCCCCTTTGTCGGGCGGCTTCTGACGTATGAATGACGTAAATGTCGGGCGGTTTCCATGTCGGGCATTGTCAAGCTGACCTTGTCTTAGCCTGTCTTTGTGGGCTTTCATAACCATGGGCTTCAGGCCCACGTATGCCAATACTAGGCCCAACATTTGCCCCTTAGTCGTGAGAAGCTTTGGGTTGTCGCGGCTACCCTGTTAACAGCTGATGCGGTTCTGTAACGTGCGGCCCATGGTTATGGTCACTCGTCTGACGCGGTTCTGTAACTTGCGGGCCATGGTTATGGTTACTCGTTTGCCCCTTGTCGCGATAAGCTGGAGCGAGAACGACTGTTGGGGCGGTTTAGACGCGAGTCGCTTTGCTCCTGGCGCTGGCGTTGCCATGTGTCGCGCCTCGGGCGCGGTGCGTTGTCAGAGACAACCCGAACGTCACTTCTGACACTTCGGGCTCCGGACCTTACTATAAGTGTCGCTGAGACTCCTTTTGGCTGCCATTGTCGTTCTATTTGCAAGAAAAACTTGTCTTCTTCTTTCCTCTTCCTCTGTGACGTAATTCCGAGCTCTGTCTCCCGGCGAATTCTACTATAAAGTCGACGCTCCTCCTCCGGTAAGTTCCTTGTGTATGCTTTGGTCTCGGTGACCCTTCTTTTCTATCTTCTACTCTTTGCCCACTATCGGGACGCCGCTCTCTTTCGTGCGTCGGGTCTCGCTTGGATTGTTCGTGTTGTTGCAGATGTCGGTTGAAGGTCGAGACTCGCCGATCGGGGAAGCGAGCCGAGGGGTGCCTGCCGCCGACGCTCATGATGTGGAGCCGATTGCGGCGGTTCATCTGCCCTCCGCCGCTGTGTCAGGGACCGTGCCCCCTGCTTCATCTGCTCGTGAAGGGGAGCTCCCTCGTCCTACCGCGGGATCCTCTCCTGTCGCGCCGGGCAAGAAAACGACGGCCGCTTCGGGGATTGCGGTTCCTCCCACGCAAGGTACGATTTGTTCTCCTCCCGATCGAAGCGTTTCCGAGTGCGTGTTTGACCTGTCTGGTCTGGACTTGTACTTCGGGAGCGGTTCGGAATTAGACGATTGTATTTTTGGGGGATCCTTGGGATTAGATAACTTTTTTGCTAACACGCGGCCTGTACCAGCTGGGGTTGTCGCAACTTCTTCCGCGGTTGGGGATAACTTAGGGGAGTTTGGGGCGGTAGAATTAGATAGTGATTCCTTGGGGGAAGAAGAGACGATTAGTAGTGATGGGTTGCGATCAGGGGCGGTCGCCAGTACCTCCTCGTCGCTGGAGGTAGTAGACTCCGAAGGAGAGGAGGTGTCGCGATTGGCGATTGAGGATGCTACATACACGATTCTTCGCCATGAATGCATGTGGGAGAGCCAACCGATTCCTGACGGAGTGTTGGAGTGCGGTCCGAAACACGTGGCGGCCTTGAGGCCCGCTCAGGTCCTTCATCGTCTGAACGCGTTGGGACTTCCTTCAGAGTGGGATTATGCGGCTCCCACCAAAGAGTGCAGATCAGGGTCGTGTCCCAAAGGTTGGATTCCTATCTTCGTGGAGCACGTGAAACTGGGGTTGCGATTTCCTCTGGACCCGGTATTGACCCAAACCCTAAACTGTCTAGGGTGCACTCTTGGTCGCCTCTCTCCTTCCATCATCTTTCATTCTGTCATGTATCGCTATGCGTGTAACCGCTTGAAGGAGACGCCCTCCTTCGATGCTTTCCGGTTACTGTATAAGGTTCGCGATACAGCCAACTGCTGGTCAATAGGGAGACGAGACCGCGCGATTGGCCTGGTGACTGGGACGCCTAAGTTGGACTCTCCCTGGTATCGGGAGTACTTCTTTGCCCGACCCACTGGGCAGTGGTACTCGGGAGGGACCGCTCCGCCGACTGGTTTTGCGGTTGGATCAAAGGAGTCGTGGTGTTCGTCAGCCCGTTTTTCAACATCAGTGAAGGATCACGTGGACCGCCTTGTCGAAGGCTTTCATTTGAATGTGTTTCCCAGCGGTTCGGGGAGTGCTTACGAGCATGTTCGCGCTTTTTATGGTTAGTAGCGTACATCTTTCGTTGCATTTCTTCCATATGCTCATATGAGTTTACTTATGCTTTTTCTTTGCAGGACTGAGAGCTTTGGCAGATGCGGTTCGCCCGAAGAAGAAAAGAGTGGTGGTGAAGGGAGCTGATCCCCGGGGGGCGGGTCCCTCGGAGGCTCCGTCAGTCGCGGTTAAGCCGGTTCCACCTTCTCCTGCCCGTAAAGCGGCTTCTCCTGCTGCGGCCACTAAGGCAGCGGGCAAAAGGGTGTTGGAGTCCGCCCTTCCTGCTGGTGCCCCCAAGCGGTTGAGGACTGGCTCACCTCGCTCTAAGGCGGGCGAAAACCGTGGCAAGGGAGCGGCTCCGTCGATGAAGCTGAGTCAGATTGATCTTCCCCCTCAGGCGGCCACCGATGGTGAAGCGGCTGAGCTCGCGTTCCACACCATCTGCGACCAACTCGTGATGCCCCCTGAGTACACAGCCTCTTCCAGCGGTGACAGCAGACGCCTTGCTGGAACTGCGACTCAGTTTTTCTTTGCGGTAAGTTTAGTCTTGCTTTTAACTTTGCGGGTTGTCATAGGCGATTTTGTTCATATTTCTCGGTTTTCCTGTTTCAGGCTCAGATTGGTTTCTCGCAAATCTTGATGAACAACGACCGCTTGTCCAAAACCGTGGATGATCAAGCTGCGGAAATCGCTAAGCTGAAAAAGAGCTCGAGTGAAGGCCGAGAGGCTTTGATGGGGGAGGTCCGTCCGTTGGTGGAGCGGGAGTTCGAGGAGCGGCTGGCTCGCAAAGAGAAAGACCTAGCAGCGGAAAGGGAAGCGGTTAAGAAGGTGCGGTTGGAGTTGGCCCAGTTGCAAGATCGTGCTAAGAAGTCAAGTGAGATGGAGAAGTTGTTGCTGGAAGAACAAGATTCCCTTCGCAAAGAAATAGATTCGCTGAAGCTGGAAAGGAAGAATCATCAAGCAGAGTTGGAAGTCGGCTGAGTTCGAGGCCATTGACAATGAGAAGTACAAGACCATCGTGGGGAATGCGGTTGCCGCTATTCGCCATTGGTTTCGCGAGGACCAGCCTGCTGCGGTTTGGAGTACCGACGAGATCTGGGATGCGATCGGGGCGTGGTCTGAGGCAGACGTGAATTCTGAGAAGTAAGATGAGGCGGGAGAAGGCGGTTCTCCCGATGGGGATGCTGAAGATGATGGCAACTCCCACAACCATTGAACGGTTGCCTTTTGTTTATCTTAAATGCCTCTATGTTTGATGTTAAGACAATGGGTGATGAATATTTTGGCGCTCTTCCATTGGGGGAAGGGCGCCTTTGGTTATTGTGGTGTTCTTAACTTCGGCTCAGTTAACCGCCACATGGCGGCGTTTATTCCTCACTGGTTGGCCGTTTGGTTGTTTTTATTATCATAACGTCTATCTTTAGTTTGTTGAGCGGTTCCGGGACCGTCCTTGTCTGCTTTGATCCTGGTGATCGAGCATATGTGCTCAAATCGTGGAACTTTTTGTGACAAAGAGTAAAGAAAACGCGCAAACTTCAGTGTATTCCATGAGCAAAAGGGGGTTGCTGTGTCAGCTAACCGTACACTGTTACAAAGGCGGGTGTGTACCCAGGCCTATCAAAATGCTATTGTGATACATAGGATTACATAGGCCGCGGCCGAGTAGTACCTCCGTAGGTGCATACTGTTCCAAGTTTTGGAGACGGGATCGCCTTCCATGGTAGCCAGCCGAAAGGTGCTTGGACCTGTCTTTTCGCCGATGAGGAACGGTCCTTCCCAAGAGGCTGCTAGTTTTCCGTGCTCCTCCTTGCGCTGAAAGTCCCGTTTGAGAACCATGTCTCCTTCCTCGAGGGGACGCGGCCTGACCTTTTTGTTGTAAGAGGCGGCCACCTTTGTCTTCTCGCTAAGGATGCGTTCTAAAGCAGTGTCTCTTCTTGACTCTATCATGTCCAGCTGATCCAGCAACTTTCTGCGGGTGCCTTCTTCGCTGTATGCTTGGACACGCAGAGAAGGTAAGTTCAGCTCCTCTGGGGCAACCGCTTCAGACCCGTAGGTGAGTGCAAAGGGTGTTTCCCCTGTTGCCGTTTTGAAGGTCGTGCGATGAGCCCACAGGACATGAGGTAGCTCAGTCGTCCATGCCCCTTTGGCGTCTCCCAGACGCTTCTTCAATCCTTGCAGGATGAGCTTGTTGGTTGCTTCGGCTTGACCGTTTGTCTGGGGGTACGCCACCGACGCCATGGTACATATAATGCGGTTTCTGGCGCAAAAGTTCTCGAATGGGCGACAGTCAAATTGCGTACCATGATCGGTGACAATTGATTGCGGAATACCGAAACGAATCATGATGTTGTTGAAGACGAACTTCTGAACCCTGGCACTAGTGATAGTCTCCAGCGGTTCTGCTTCAATCCATTTAGTGAAATAATCCACGGCCACCACCAAGTATTTCTTGCCCAGAGGCGCTGTAGGAAAGGGTCCCAAGAGGTCAAGACCCCACCGGGCAAATGGCCAAGGGCCGACCACACTTTGCAGCTCTGAGTTAGGGAGGTGATGCTTGGACGCATGTACTTGACACGGGTGGCAGTTGAGGACGACGTCTGATGCGTCCTTTTTGATGGTTGGCCAATAGTACCCTTGTAGGAGAATCGTCCTTTCCAGCGACCGAGGACCCGCATGGGTGGCACAAGTCCCCTGATGGATCGCTTTTAGAGTCCAGCGCGCCTCTTCCTTGCTTAGGCATTTCAAGTAGGCTCCTGAGAATGACCGCTTGCATAGCTGGCCGTTGATCATTGAGTATCGGGCGGCCCTACGCTTGAGCGCCTTTCTTTCTACTGGGTGCTGAGGGGTGATGTCATGCTCGAGGTATTGAATCAAGGGCGTCCTCCAGTCTGTGACTTCCCCAATGTTCATGATCTCCTCCGACGGGTCGCTTTCCTTGAAGACGGTGATGTGTCTGTCTCCTTCAAAATCCATGGCGGTTGCGAGCTTGGAAAGGGCATCGGCGTGTTGGTTGTCATCCCGCCTTACGTGCTCAAGCTTCCACGTGCTCAGCTGGCTGAGCACGCTCTTCACTCGACTGGCTAGGGCTGCCAACTTCTCATCTTTGATTTCGAAAGTTTCATGCACCTGCTTGACCACCAATAAAGAGTCAGAGAATATGTGAACATCTGAGGCGCCTAGTTGGGAGAGTATTCTGAGCCCATTGATGAGCGCTTCATATTCGGCCACATTGTTGGTCTTGATGTCCCGGAACCTTAAAGAGATTTCATGGACCGTTCCTTCTGGTGACTCGATTACTATGCCCGCTCCGGAGGCTGCCTTGCCAGCCGCCCCGTCTATGAATAACCGCCATATTCTGGGGCGGTCACCCTCGGGTGTAGCTTCAAGTGAGAATCCTTCTGCAATAAAGTCGGCCAAAACTTGCCCCTTGATGGCGGGACGCGGAGCGTACTCGATGTCGTACTCGCTGAGCTCTATCGCCCATTTGGTCAACCTTCCTGATGCGTCCATACCCCTCATGATGCTTTTCAGCGGGAGGTGGGATAGAACCGTGATCGGATGTTCTTGGAAGTATGGTCTTAGCTTCCTCGCGGCTGAGGCGGCGGCCAAAACCGCTTTCTCGACTGGCATGTAGCGAGTTTCGGCTGGAAGGAGAGCTTTGCTGACATAATAGACAGGCTGGTCAGAGCCATCCTGTGCTCGCCGTACAAGTACCGAGCTTACTGCTTGTTCGGAGACCGCAAGGTATAAGTAGAGCCGCTCCCCATTGACTGGGGCGCTCAAGACTGGCGGGGCGCTGAGCTGGCTTGTTAGTAAGGCGAATGCTTTGTCGCATTCGGCGCTCCATTGAAGTTTTGACGCGGACTTTTTCAGCATCTGAAAGAATGGAGAACACTTATCTACAGACCGTGGGATGAATCGCCCGAGAGCGGCCATCTTTCCATTGAACGCTTGTATCTCTTTGATGGTCTGTGGCGGTTTCAAGCTCCGTATGGCCTCGATTTGCTTCGGATTGGCTTCTATTCCCCTTTTGGTGATCATGAACCCGAGGAATTTTCCGGCTTCGGCTCCGAAGACGCACTTGAGCGGGTTGAGCCTCAGATTCCTCCCTCTCAGCGTTTCAAAAGTTTCCCTTAGGTCGGACAGGTGATCTCATGCTTTCTTGCTTTTGACGAGCACGTCGTCGACATATGCCTCAACATTCCTTCCCATCTGGTCTTTGAAGACCGCATCCACCATACGTTGGTAGGTTGCCCCTGCGTTCTTTAATCCGAACGGCATAACCACATAGCAGAAATTTCCCATGGGCGTCATGAAGGCCGTGAGCTCTTGGTCGCCTTCCGCCATTCGGATTTGGTGATATCCTGAGAACATGTCCAGGAAACTCAGCGCCTCGTGGTTGGCGGTTCCATCAATTAGCTGATCGATGCGAGGTAGGGGATAGGAATCCTTGGGGCATGCAGCGTTGAGGCTCGTGAAATCTATGCACATCCTCCACGCGCCTCCCGTTTTTCGTACGAAGACTGGGTTTGAGAGCCACGTGGGATACTTCACTTCTCTAATGAATCCGGCTTTGAGGAGCCGCCGGACCTCCTCCTCGAGGGCCATTTGCTTTTCCACCGATAGGTGCCTTCGTCGCTGCTGAATGGGACGCATCTTGGGTTTAACTGAGAGGTGATGCTCGGATATGTGGCGGGGGACGCCTGGCATGTCCTCCGGACCCCATGCGAAGAGGTCCTGGTACTCTCGGAGGAGTGTGAGCAGTTTTTGGGCTTCTTTGACCGCTAAGTGCGTCGAGATGCGTACCGTCCTGTCAGGGCGTTCTTCATCTAGAGCGACCGCGATATCCCCTTCGACCGCTTCGGGACGGGGGACATCGTCTCTTGCGTCCACCAGGTCCACTTCGAGGTGCTCGATCGTTGCTTGGTAACATTCTTTGGCTTCCTTGATGTTCCCTCGCACGCGGCCCATCTGCCCGCCGCTGGGGAACTTTAGCATTTGATGGCATGTAGAGGCGACCGCTTCAAAGGAGGCTAGGAAGCCGCGCCCCAGAATGGCGTTGTACGCGGACGGACAATCCGCCACGTGGAATTCCACTGGTCTTGTTTTGGTGATTCCCCCTTCGCCGATGGTGACCTTCAGGGTGATGGAGCCCAAGACCCGTACTTTCGTTCCCGAGAAGCCCACTAGGCTGGTATTGGAAGGGTTGAGGTCTTGCACGCTTTTCTTCATTCCCCTGAGGGCTGAGTAGAAGAGAATGTCGGCGGAGCTCCCATTGTCGACAAGAGCCCGCGTAACCTTAAATTTCGCGGTTCTGAAAGCGACGACCAATGGATCTTCCGAGTTTTCTTCTTTAGCCAGTTCGGAGGGCAAGAACGTCACATCCGTGGTCGCCCTTCGTTGTACATGAAGACACTGGGCTATGCGGTCTCCTTCTGTCCTAGGCCGCTTTCGTCCTCCCGCAATGGTGATGACCTCCATTCCATCATCGTCGTTGCGTTGGGGCCGATAGGCTGGAGATTGTCTTTGAGGCGATGCGGCTTTGTTCCTTGTCGGAGACCTTGACCTTTCCTTCCGTATTCTTCTAGCCTTTTCCAGCTCGGGGCTGGGAGAGTCTTCTCCCGCTTCTGGAGAGGGACCGCGATGTGGGCGTCTCGTTTCCAGGCGGCTCCGCAGGTCGCCTGGAGCCAAGTATTTGAGGCTAGCCTTAAACTCCCGACACTCTGTGGTGTCATGGGTAGTGACTTGGTGCCAGTCGCACCACTTCTTTCCTTCTTGGGAATCCTGTCCCGAGGAGGCTTCATGCTTTCTTCCGCCTCTCCGTCGTTCTCTTCCTCTTTCGCGGTCGGTGGAGAACACTTCCTTCCGGCCCTCGCGCTCGGAGTACCGATTGCGGTAGGACCCGCATTCTGGGGAGCGCCTCCCTCGCCGCGTGTCCCGTCGCTCCTGCTGGTCGTTTTGCGATCGCCCTG